GAGACGGCCTGCAAAAGAAGGAGACGAACTTATGCTCCACATTGGTAAGCCACCAATCGTAACTGCCGTCTAGGCGGCATTCGGAACGTTACCCGTAAAAGCAGTACTAAAAAAATAACCAATATATATATATATATATATATATATATATATATATATATATATATATATATATATATATATGTTGGCTGTCCACCTGTGTTTGCAGTGTTGTCATAGTCTTAGGGGCGCGTGCTATTTTTTTAATTTGTTTATATCTTGGACTGAAACACTTTTTCGTGGTGTAAAATGTTTAAGAAGCAGCCTTTGTTTACCCCGATGTCATTGCAGAATCAGTACGTGTTGTTCCGGTTTCGTGATTTGTTAACGCGAATTTTTTGTATAAAAGAAAAGAATAAATAAAAGTTAAAAAAAAGGCTTCGCGATTTTTTTCTTTTTTCGTTGTATCATTATCATTTTTTATTTTACAACTTCAAAGTCGTAAAGTACCACAGGAAAAGAAAGAACGCAGTTGAAAAATTCAGTACTTTCCGTTTTTAATATTCGCTTTAAAGTTCGCGTCGTCCACGACCTTTCTGCACCAGGGTCAGTACATAAAGTTTATGCGTAATCCCCCCTCGCTTTCTTCCTCCAAGGACTTTGCGACGAAGCGAAAAGCCTGCTCTTAAAAAGCTCTTTCATCATTACTTGTTGCTTGCTGCAGTGAAAGGCTGCGTTTGAATGGCGGATCTTGGTTTTGATAGCGGCATCACCGCTTCGCTGGAACGATGCTACGCACCCACTTATATATACATACACACACACACACACATATAAATAAAGTGAGAGAGAGAGAGCGAAGAAGGATAGCTAAAAAGGGAGCGCATCTCCCGCTGGGATATTACCGCGCAATAAGCTGACCTCGCTTTCCATAACAAAACCACTAGCCTCGATATCTTTTTTTTTTTTTTTTTTTTTTCTTTTTGGTGTTGACGAGTACTCTGTCTCTGCTCGTACGTGTGAAGCGCAGTAAAGGTTACGATACACAATAGAGGACGTCAGCCGTCTTCGTTCGCTTGGTCACGTGGCACGTTCCCGGCACCGGATTGGCTGGAACGGTTAGCAGCGTACGCTAAGGACCATTGTTAGGGAAAACGGAGTCGACATCGTGCAGTCAACGCAAAGAGGGTCGAAAATTTAAAAATAAATCAATAAATAAAAAAGAGAGCGTATGATGGATGCTTTTGGGGGTTGTGCGGTTGTTTATGGAGAGGGGGGGGGGGGGGGGTATATAATAGAACCATGGAAGGCAGCCCGTGGTGTCGGCCGCAGAGCGGCGGGTATGTTCCGGTGCTAATCCGACGGTGAATGGGGCGTGACGAATGGTTTTGGGTGCGAGAGAGTCGCATGCGATTCTATCGCTCTTCGGCTGTAGAGGTCAGTCGTCTCCTGCGGGCTGGTGGTGGAATATAAATATAAAACTATTCGTTTTTTTAGTACTCGAAGAACGGTGACTGGTGGAGGAGATAAAAAGCTATTCAATGTTTTTTTCCGAAAGTGCCGTATATTCCGTGGACTCCGCTTTGTGTTATCGCTGGTGGTCGGCCCGTTCTGAGGCGACACAGTTTCGGATCGGAACTGAGCTTTATTATAACTTTGAAACACTCTCGTTGCTATCGAAAGTTGGAGTTTTGTACCCAAGCGCGAAAAATTAAGAAGAAAATTGTGCGTTTTTATGAACTAGAGCATTTGTCTCCGGGAATTTGAGAGCTAAGCCTCTCACCTTCTACGTTGCAGCTCTGCTCGTTTTTCACCTTAAGAACCGTAGTAAACGTAGTCCGGCTAGTCGCGGAGTGTTACTAATTTCCCCTTTTAAGAGATAATTAAAATATTTGTAAGTCTATTTAAGATTAGGTGTATGTCCCCTTATCAAGACGTACACTTTCAAGCCCCAAAAGCATCGCTTCTTACACCGACAACCAAATCTTGTTAGAGGTACTTCGCGCAACGCATAAACACTGCGCAAAACTTTTTTTTTCTCTTTTTCTTGAGGTTGCAGTAAACCGCATTCCTACGTAGCAGAATGCTGCTCTGAACCCTAGCTTTGTGGCTCTAACTACCTAAAGTCCAGGGAACCTACAAGTTCCGTCTCATTCTTTTTTTTTTGCCAATTTCTATCTCTCCTACAACTGCTTGCAACCGTGACTTTTTTGTTGTTTACATTTTTTTTTATCTTTTTCCTCTTCTCTGGTTCAGTGTTGATTCAGCTGATTTAGTGAATTCGCAGAACTCATCAGACCACTCCTTGCAAAGTTGCTCCCCCCTTGCCTGATGATGACGCTGTCTCGTGGCGCGGATGACTTGGGCGCTCTGGGAATGCTTCCCGGGCCGGCCGGGATTCCCGGAGGTCTTGCTTTGGCCTCTTGCGGTAGTCGTCGCAAGACCGGAAGTGTCTCATTACGGCCGAGGGAGAACCGCCAAGCGGCCTTCGTCGTGTCCGTATCTGCGATTCGGCGGAACCCGGGGTTTACTCTTTTCTTATTTTTTTTCTCTCTCTTTATAATGCTGTTTTTGTTCGTCACGGTGAATATCCGGGTCGTCCCGATGTTAGTGTTTGGAATGAAATGTTTCTCTTTTTGGTGGGTTGCTGCGGAATGCAGAGATACCTGTCTCCATTATGTCGGACTGGAAGGTGGGCGGCAGAAAAAACAAACAATCTGAGAGGGTGTCTCAGATAACGTAATAAAACCGATAGTGAAAAAAAAGAGAGAAAAAGAAGGGGGGGGGGGGGGGGGCTAAACGAGTTTTTGCCCATACTGAAAGTTACACGATTTTTCAAGATGGTGGCGCCCTTGTGGAAGGGGTCTATAGTAAAAACAAAACGGGTCATTTTTTTAAAATAAAAAGCGAAAAAGTTGTTATTCAGGTTATAGTCCAAGCTTAAAAATTGTTCGGCAAAACTGTGTGTAGACATCAATTTGTTTATTACCGAAGGCACTTTTTTTTTTTTTTTTAATTGGAGGAACATGGCGCCTGCTTAGAGCCCCGCTTTACTTTTAAAAAAGCGAAGTATCTGCGCACGTTGCGTTCGGCCTCTTAGGCATGACGTAAGAAGCAGAGGATGACGTCATCACGCCGAGGCGATAACTCACTCTTCAGGGAAGCACACACAAACGCTTCGCCCGAAAAAAAACACAAAAAAGTGGTTTACGGGCTTGCGTTGAGCACACAGTCCAGGTGATTAGACGGGCCTGTTCACCAACAACGAGTTATCAACAATGAGCGGCCGGAGTTACTCCCATCGACTCCGGAAGAATCGTCAGCGCCATCTTTGTGTGACATATGGGGAGCACTCACTACTGCCGGCCATAGCTGTGCGCGCGACTGCTGAGCGCGTGTTGACGGCGATCTTCCGCAGTTCTTTTTGCAACGCGCATTCCACACCGTCGACATTGTCGGTCTCAGCGTGCCTATCAGTGCGAGCTCGCTCTGAGCGTACGCTTGAAACGGCGCCCTCAAATATGGCGTCCAGTGAATATACTCTATATATGGGCGGAGTGAGCTGCGTCTTTTCACACGTAAGAGAGAAGGGCTACTGTGGGACCGCCGGGAATCGTAACTGCAATTCCGTGTTTTCGGGTTTTATTTTGCCTCAAATTTGAAGAAGCGTTTTTGCCGTTTTTCTTTTCTTTTTTTACGGGGTTTGTGTTTTCTAAAAATAATTTGGCGGCGGGCAAAAGAAAAAAAAAAAAGTCGTTTATGGGAACTTTTGTCGAAGGCCAACTCGTCGAAGGTGATAATTGTTGAATAGGACAACTCGTTGTGTGCCAATTTTGCAGGATGGGCAACTGGTAGACGGATGCAACCTGTCGAATTGCTGTTCGTCGAATGGACGTAAGAGGTTTCAAAGGGGAAGAAAAAGTTCGTTTTATTGTTGTCCTTCCACTCTCTTGCCTTCAAGTTTTTCTTTTTTTTTTTTTCCTATTTTTTTTTTTTTATTGTATGCCGCGTGTAGACCGTCTGTCAGAGTGTAGCCAGCTATCTAAAAATGCAAAAAATCGGTGTCAAACGTTTGGCATTCAGCCGTGAAATATGTGGCTCGATTCCTGGAAGATTCGGGAGTTCAGCTAACAAGAATCAACACTTACGCGGGTTCGTGCCGAATATTTGAAAACGTGGTTGCGTTTATAGACACGGTCACAAGGGAAAAACAGGGTCCATGGACAAAATTGACAGTTTTGACCGAGCGTTTTTGTCATTACTACGTTTGCTAGTGGACAGATACGGGAGCGGTTGCCGTCATTATGTGAAGCAACGATACAGCTTGCAGCGCAAAGCCCGCAATTTACAGTGTGCGCAAACCTAAAAATCGTCTATACGTGGTGCGCAAAATGGCGGTGCAATACTATGTTGTTTTTTTTGTTCGTGCATGAAAACTAAATCGTCACGTGTGTAAAATAAAAAAAGAAAAAGTGTCGACGAAAGGGCCTGTTCGACAAACTGCTCTTTGACGAGTTAGCCGCTTCGACGAATTGGCCTTCGACGGGTTGGCTGTCGACGAGTTCACCTAGACCCGGGTTTCCCCATCCTCCAGGCAACGTGCACGTGACCCGAATGCTTCACGGTACCGATAAGAGAACAAACTGGGAGCGTTGTTCCCTAAAGAGAGTTTTAGTAGATCGTTCAGATATCTCCGATACCCCCGATAACGATCCGATGCGTGCGTAGATGCGGAAGCGGGTTATCGGGGTATCGTTATCGTAGTCATTCGGAACGATCTACCAACACACTCTGAACGAAGCTGCCTCGCAGACAGTTCGGTGCGGACCGTGTTCCGAATCGACGAAAAATAAAGCTGCAGATCAGGATGTCCTCCCGTTATGTTCTTCTCGTGCAAAGACAGCTCCCATTCGGGCTTTTTTTCGGTCTTTCCCGAATACGAGAGTTCGGGTTTTATCGGTATTTACCGAGAACACGGGACCTTAGACGTAACGCCGCGACCGTTTGTTTGCCCCCTGCAGGCGGCTTCTCCGAGTTCCACTCCCGCTACCCGGAGTGGTGCGACACGAGCGAGTCGGACCTGCTGTCGTCGCCGGTGTCCTCGCTGACGACCACGACGGCTCTGCTGGGCCTCGAGACGCTCCGGATCTCGACGGTTCTGGGCCCGGACTGCGGGTCGCCCAGGGACTCCTCCGTGGACGACCCGGACCGCTGCGACAGCGGACTCGCCAGGGACGACAGCCCCGGGGGCGCCGACCCGCCGTTTCCGGTCCAGATCGTGCCCTTCCTCTTTCTAGGTGAGCCGTTTGGCGCGTCGTTCGTGCATACCGGGCTATAGATACCGGGTCGCTTTTTCTTTTCAGTCGTCTGCGGGATTCAGTTGTTCGTTGTAGGGAATTCGTTATTAGTTATGCGTTAATAATATGAATAGTTTGGTGCAATCCTTCGTTATCATTCATTCCTTTGAAGTAATTTGTTATCAGTCATTCGTTATGGTCGTTCATTATTAGAGCTCATTCGTTAGTATAGCTCCTTTGGAATCAGTTACTTCGTATCAGTCATTTTGGATGAGTCTTTTGGTGCCAGGCATTTGGTATAAGTCATCTGATGTCACTCACTCGGTGTCATTAATTCAATATCAGTCACTCCTCGTGAGTCGTTTCATATAGCTTATCAGTCAGTCATCATAATTCACTCGTTATTAGCTATCATTTACGAGTAATGTGCCGTCATCGATCTGACATTAAGCACAGCAGTTTTCATCGGTCATCCATCACCAGTCTTAGTCATACCTCATCGGTCATCTGCCATTTGCCATAAGTCACGTTTTGTGGTTTATCCGCCACGAGCCATCTGGTGTCCTTATCAGTCGTTTTCCATTCTTCGTCAGTGAATCGCCATCCGTCATCTGTCACCTGCCATAAAAGACGCACATTTTTCTGTCATTGATGTTCCACTGATTATTAGCCTTCCCTTTGACAATCATCGCCATCAGTAATCATAGGGCGAGGAAAAGGCAGGCCGGGGAAGAGAAAGTAGACAGAACTTTGGAGAAAGGAGTACTTTCCCCTTTTCTCCAGCGTTCCGTTTGCCTCTTCCTCCTGAGCCATCGTTTCCCTCGCCCTACCTTCTTGAGCGGTGACTTACCTTATATCAGTTCATTCGCCATACTACCAGCGTCGGGCATCATCCAGCCAATTCAGTAGAGGGACGATGCTAACTCTGTGTGAACAGGGTATGCAGTTGACCAGTTGTCTACAAACGTCCGCAAGAAAAGACCCTTTTGCATTCGATCCGACCATCGCATTGTGCCGGTGTCAATAGGAACGCGTCTCCCTACTGGTGTGTTTAGCTTCCTATCCCGTGATGTCACGAGAGCCAGGTTAGAGTGTACTTTTTTTCTAGCCAGAACGCCGTTGGACGTCGCGATCTTGCGTCGCTGTCGTCGCGGTGCCTCCACTCCTGGCCGGTAAAGCTTTTGTGGACTGTCACGCGGCTAGAGAGCGACCCGTAGCGAAACCTGCCACGACCGCTGTTGTGACACCGCCAGGATCGCGGCGGGCGACAGCGCGACACTTCTATGACGTCACGAGGCGGAAACCGATGGACCGCTCTTTTGGACGCGTTCAACTTCACACACACACACACACCAGTCGGAGACGTGTTCCAGACACCTTAGAGCTGAGTTGGCGAATTGTGCTGGTTTTCTGGCGAGTTGGTGCTGAATTTGAGATACACGGTACATGTGTCTGAATGACAGATTACGTGAACAGAATCTAAACGACCATCGGGACGGTCATTACCTTTCTGTTCATTGTCACGACTGTGACTGCGCTCCCGCGTCCCCCCATACCGTGCACTGTCCTTGTCAGACATAAGGATGAGATCGTAAGGACGATTATTAAAGCTCAGATAAGAATTCATAGGGTTTCGTGTTATCTCTAAGACGACTTGAAGGCGAAAGCCCAGGCGCCGATGCATTAAAGACATACACCCTCTTAATGTGTGGAGTCATCCTCAGTGTGCTGAGTCATCGTCTTAATTCGTTTAGTAATCCACTTAATTCGCCTAGTCATCCATTTAATTCACTTTAATTCCTCTTAATTAGCTTTGTCGTCCTTCTTAATTAGTTTTGATTACTCTTGTCTTTAATTCCTCCTAATTCACTTTAATTCTCTTAATACACCTTAGTTCTCCTAATTCACTTTGATTCCTCTTAAATCACTTTGATTCCTCTTAAATCACTTTGATTCCTCTTAAATCACTTTGATTCCTCTTAATTCGCTTTATAGTCCTTAATTATCGTTGATTTCTCTTCCTTCTCTTTAATTCCTCGTAATTCAATTTAATTCCCTTAATTCACTTGGATCCCTCTTAATTCGCTTTGTCGTCATTTTTAATTCCATTGCCTCCATTCGCCTCAATAGTCACGTAAACGTTTTAGTACCTTTCGTGTCGGCGACGTGTTTTCGCTCAAGGACTTTGAAGGTCGGCTGAACGATAAGACATATAAGGATTTCGCCTTAATGAAAAAAATCCGGCTCAGCATAGCCTCCATTAAACTTGCAGATAAGGAAATTGTGTGCTGGCAAGTGGGGGTGGTGAGGCACTGGATTGGCTGACACTGGTGCGGTGGCACAGCGTATGTATGGTGTCGTCTCTTCCCGTGAATCAGCAGTTGAACGTCAGCGCACAGTCGATTCCAGCTCGCATTCTTTTTGTCCTTGTCTTTGAGCGCTTACCGTGTGTTCCAGGTCGGCTTTGTCTCGGAGACTCGAGGAATTAAAAACGTGTCTCGTCGGACGCAGGCAACGAGGAGAACTCTACGGACCTAGAAGCCCTGGAGCGCAACAACATACGCTACGTGCTGAACGTGACGCACAATCTGGCCAACACGTTCGAAGGGCACGGCTTCAAGTACATGAAGATCCCCATCGAGGACCACTGGTCGCAGAACCTGGCCAGTTTCTTCCCCCAGGCCATCGCCTTCATCGGTGAGTGCCCTTCTCCCATCGGATAGATCGATAAACGGTAGGGCTGTGAGGATATTCGAATAGTACATTCGAATAATACGCTATTCGATGTTCGCTTCAATGTACTTTTCGAAGTGTTGATCGCGGCGGGTTAGCCCCGTTGAGTGCGCTTCGCACCGAGCACCTGTGCACAGCGGGAAAGCAATACCCGCGGAGGTCGCGAACCCTCCGGGAAGTACTTCCCGGCAGTCCACGCGCGTTCGGCGAGAAGCGCACTCGACGGGGCTAACGCTCCCCGATTAAGCGACAGTGTATGTTAGGCAGCGATGTCTTGGCATGCCCCGTTCATCATTCTTGCTTTTTATTTTTATGACATGTTTAGTACGTCCGTAGTTTTGTCAGACTATCCCTCGAGACACGTGCCCAGCGGCTGTCTGTCTCCGTGTGTCCGTCTCTTGGGTAAAGCGTAGATGTGGTCCGTAAAAGGGCGCCCGTCGCGTGTCCTCGTAAAATGCGTTGCGCCACCTAGAGTGCTCTGCGTGCCGCCGTCTTGACGAGGTCGCGTGGGCGGCTGTGAACGAATCGATACTGCGAGAGGAGCGAGCGGCTTTCACCGCGGGCACGCACACCCGTCCGGAGTGTCGGCGTCGTGCTTTCTCTTCTGGCGCGTTTTTTTTTTTTTTTTTCCCGCGCCGCGAAAGAACGGTCGTGCTACGATGGTTAGTCGTAGCAAGGAAAGTAACAGAGTTGCGTTGTCCCTGGTGGTAAGGATAATTAAATTGTCAAAGGTGGAAGGGACAGTGGAGGAGGGTAGGCTGTCATCGTCGGCATTGAAAACTAAATAAACGCATCAACTAAGCTTTAAACATCCTCTCCTTTTATTTATTGATTTCTTCTTCTACTTTTGAATTTTGGCGTTCACCTCGCATTATACTCTCGGGTCGCTATTTTGCGTCGTGATAGACTTCCGCATGCTGGCCTGCACTTTCTTTTTCTACTTTTTGAATGCGCAGTGTTTATGGGACTGGCTTTTAGCGCTTTCCTGTCGCGCGGAAATCATGATATCACGTGACCCGGTGCCCACGTAGTGTCACGTGGTCACTTGGCGTAACGTCTCGCGATACCTTGACGCAAGGTGAGACGGTGACGTAATGGAGGACCTATAAATGCAACCCGTTTGGAGCGCCTTTGGGATATATCCAAAAGAGGCAATTTATAAATTTTTTTAGTGAAATTTACAGTTACTCGAGTTGAAATATAACGAAGTGAAATGCACACGGTCCCACTCTTATGACGCTGCCTTTGTGTCGGTGACTTTTAAACGCAGAAGCGTAAATAAGCTCTCGCGCCTTCTTTTTTTTGGTAACGTTTCTTGCGGTTTACGTGCGCTGCACCTATGAGGGTGTTCATTTCGATTTACAACAGCGATCACGTCAGGGGTTGAGGTAGTAATGTCATTGACGTTGACGCTAAATCAATGTGAATTCGCGTATTTTATTGTCAGCAAAATTTTGAGAGCCGAATAGCCGAACTAAACACGCTACAACTTCTCCGAAAAATGTAACCAAGCTGCTTTTACTTATAGCTTGTAACCGAATACCGTCTCTTAAGTACTTTTAGTTAGCCACTAACGACTCAAGAATTGCTGGGCATTGACCTGTAAGAACGTCGATAACCGGTTTACGAACCAATAATGCGTGTGGACATAATAAGTTTCTTAGGTTGTCTGTGACAGTTATTTTACAGCTCTCGCTACTGAGGGTAAAGCCAAGAGGAACCGCAGTTTAGTTTTGGGCGACGGGCCGAATAGAATACCCTCCCAAGTACCCCTCGGACGTTGTTGTCTTTTGAACATTTGTAACGTACAATTTACAGTTAACAGTTAAGGTTACAGTTAACGGTCGTTACGGCTATTGGATATAGGTTTCGAACGAGGGAGTCCCACCCCCTGTTACGCCTAACCCGCGTCGGTGATTGCCGTAACGGTAGAATCAAAATCCGGACTTGCGACAAAAAGCTGCTTTGTTTCGTAAGGTCGCCAAGGCGCGAGCTGATGGGCTGCAAACCCCCGGGTAAGGGATTGGCGAAAAAAAAAAAAAAAAGAAACCGAAGGAAATACTGCCTCAAAGCCATCTGGCCCCTAGAAAGTTCGAAGACGAAAACAAAATACAGCCAATAAGTTGCGCGGATGAAATTGGAACGGATTTTCTTAAACGACATTTGAGCATTCCTCTTCTGTTTTTTTTTTTTTAATATTTTGTTGACGCGTCTTTTTCTTTTTTTGCTGTGTTCTGAAGATTACGTGTGTTTCTTCGCCGCCTAAAAGGGGGGAGGGAAGAAATAAAAAAAGTCGGTAGACCGCAGAAACCTTGTTGTGTAATTGCCACAATCGATTATTCTTTGTGTAACTCTGGGCCAGTTCTATTTTTCCTTTTTCTTTTTTTCATGTTTTGCGGGGAAGCTTTTTCTTTTTTTTTTTTTTTGCGGGTGTACCGTTTGTTCGTTTGACATTCGGAGGCAGTAAGTAGTTTTTACTAGGGGGTTTTAGGGAACCGTTTTTGCACTGTACGATGGGCCCTCCGGTAGGAACCGCGCATGCGCTATAAGCACAGAAGACTCGGTCATGCGCAGTTGCTACTAGAGGACCCCATCGTACCCTATCGGACGTGCAAAAACGGTTCCCTAAAACTCCCTAATCAAATCAGGCGTGTGTCCTTTGGGACGTTGGGGGGTTACCAACCAGAAGAGACCAAACACGCTTTCGATAGTGCTTCGGCGTCTCGCGGGCCTCGTGCGTGCTGGCCCAGCAAAAGCAGGGTATCACCTTGCCGGTGACTATATTGTCGCAGTATACTTGTATAGCGGCAGCAGGTGGCAGGTTCGAATCCCGGCTCGCTCTTTAGGATTGAGCGTTAAAAAGGGAGCCCGCAGGTGGACGAAATTAGTTATTTAGTTCCCGACTGGGAGATGCCAAATATCCATCGTTAAAACAGCAAAAAAAAAAAAAATTCGAATTTTGAATGTTTTATATTACAGGGTGTGTCAAATAGCGTCCGGGCTCTTTAAATCGACCGCAAATATTGGTTTCTTATCCTATCGCGCTACGATTTCGTGCAGCGTTGCCCACAGGTGGTGCATCTTTTCTGCAAACTTTTGCAAAGAGCGAACTTACCTGAGGCAAAAGTAAAACAAGAAATGGGCTTAACTCCTATGGAAACGCAGCGAAGCCACCGGTCTTGAAACAATAAGGCGCCCTATTATTCGAAGACCAGCGTGGTTTCGCTGCACTCCTAGGACGCCTTCGAATGCGAGAGCCGGATGCCGGCGTTCTATACACGAACTCATCTCTGTTACGTCACGGCGCGGTGGTGGCGCGTCGGTCGCACTTCCGGTCTGGGGCTGTGGGCAGAAGTCCCCATGCCAGACGTCTATTCTTGCGTTGTTTTGAAAGGAACCAGACAAAAACGTGCCTTCTCGTCAAAACGCCGCGACTGGGGCCGTACCGAAAGTGGCGAGAAAGGTTTGAAGGTCAGTTTTCACGTGCTTGGTTCGTCCGAGAATCTGAATATGTGCCGTGAAAAGCAGACGCCGTCGGACAACGATTGCTTGGACGGGAAGCTCTTTGGGTTGAATTCATGGATACTTGAGGTCATCAAATTTATTTCTTTTGTTCCAACATGAACGCCAGAAAACTGTCAAGTTGTGCCGAACACCTGCGGACTACGTTCAGTGTACCTTCAAGTTCAAACGGCCGCCGGATCGTTGGAACTGTCGTCTGCTCTTTGAAACGTTTCTGCTCGTCGTCTGCTCGCATAGACGACGCCGGCCCGTAGACCAAATATTGGTCCAGTACTTGCGATAGGAAGTAAGTGCAGGCCTCATAAGACTTAAATTTGAAGGTTGGTAAGCAGGCTCGATGTAAACAGTAGATACAAAAAGATGTTGATCAATTTTACCAGTGACCATCACCGACTTGTTACCCCTAATTCACTTGGTCCGATTCTGCCTGCGATTTTCAGTATCGACGTCGACTAATCTCAGCTACGGTTCACGCTTTTGCAGCCCGAGCGGCGTCGCGACTGCAAATTGCGAGTGAAATCTCACCATGTGAATCAGGCTTTAGCGTACATATTCATTCCACAGCCTTGTGGAATGAAGCGCCACATGTCACATTATTCACGCGAAGTTTTGCGGTGTAACGAGCCTCGGTAATTTCGCTGACGCCGCTCAACTAGTCAGACATCGCCAGGAAGACGTAGAATCAACAATTCGAATCCGAAAAAGGGCAGGGGGACTCACAACGACGCCGACAACATCGCATTTCAATGGTTTGTTTATGGGCGACGGCGAGCTTCTTGCCCACACCCCCATCGCGCATGCGCGGCGCCGGTGGCGTCCGCTAGGGGCGCTCTGGTTTGTTTGTAAACCAGAGCGCCCGAGCGTAAACCAGAGTGTTTGTTGGCTAGGTGGCGTAAGCTACCGCCCGATCCAAAGGGCTCAGCCGTATTCATCCATCCATTCATCCAAACACGAGTTGGTGTATAAGTGCACTTAAGAGAAAGGCAGCTAGCATGAGGTCTACCCACTAATCATTCGAACCAGAGCTCTCCCGCATAAAACAGTACCCGCTTCCAATATTTGTCGGTAATAAATCCTCGCTTTTTCGGGGGGTGACCGGGGTTCTATCACGCGTATCTTGTGCGCACCTTTTAATAGTCTGTCTAGCGTTTTCTCGCCCTGCAAGTTACAGGTGCGAGCTGGGATCAGAATGGGTGTTTGTGTTATGCATGTTCCCCTCCCGAAGTAGCTAAATACGGTTGCTCCTTACTATGAACAAATGTAACGAAGGTACGTTACTAGTCCCTCTTTCGGAGAAGGAACTAGGTCGTTACAATGAGAATTTACGCGTGTAAGGGGAAGGGTACTGGACAACCAACGTTCGCGAACATTCTTGCGGGCCTCTGCCCACTTGGAAACAACAACAACAACACGGCTTGAAATGATATTTCGTGCCGCGATCG